TATGTAACAAAGTTTATGTATTTGCCTCAGAATACAATATTTATTGTACAGTTGTTAGATTTCTTATTTATTTGACTAAGCAATCTTATTAGCAGTACGTTTACATTTACTTGGTAACTACTTATAGGAAACATAATCGCAGATAAGTAACGTAAGTTTTTGATATTCAGTGTTTTAGTGAAGATGCTTTAAATTATAATTGTTTTATTGCGTATTTGATTGAAATATTTCTATAATTTATTTAGATAATTAATATTAGATTATATGGGCCCCAATGGAAATAAGTCCACAAAGCTTTTTATTGGGTTATCCAGGAAAATCTTTTTTTCGTATCTATTTAATTTATATATTTAAGTTTTGTCTTCATATTTTGTAGTATTTGACTGATATTTTCGAATAAATGCAAAGCAAAATCAATTATCAGGCAAGTATTCTGTGAGTGCGCCCTCATTATAATGTTATGCAATAATAATCTGTTTTGACGCTCACAAAAACAAGTTGAACCAAAGATAATAAATAGCTACAGTATATAAGTTCTTTGGTTGAACAGTGAGTCAGTATTGCAGCTTTAAAGCAGGATTGAGACGAACATCTGTAACAGACAGTTTAACTTTACTTCGTGTGGATACGTACAGAGGTAAGTCCGGTTGACTGGATATTTGGCTTGTTTGTAGGTTATGATAATTCGATAATTTTTGTGTAAACCTAATATAAAGTAATAACAATGATAGTCTATAGGGAGATTTGACGCTCTGCTCGGCTTGCCACTGACTGTGTGTGGCTGGCCAGCCTAGGCCTAGAGGTGTGTTTGAATTTTTTCCGCCATGTGTGGAAGATTTGTTACATTCTTAATTTATATGGAGAGTGCACTTGTAATGTCAGTCATCATCAACATCATCATCATCATCATCATCATCAATCAAAATCATCATCATCATCTTCGTTTACTGTGCAGATAAATAAGCCATGTTCCGACAGTCTTCTCTCTGAAAAGTTTTGACGGAAGTAAAATTTTATGAAGTGGATAGGCCTATATTTACGTGACTGTAAATAAATCAGTAAACGAAATAAATACGAAGTGTCTATATGCTTACGCTGAGGCGTAAATATTAAGCATATGCGCCGCTAATGCACTTTCGCACCTAACTTTTAATTCTTAATTTTTTACCTCAACGTTCTTCTCACAGTCACAACATATAATTAACAAACATTTTCACCTGATTTAACCACTCACAAAGTACCTTTTCCAACAAATAAGCCTACAAATAAGTACAGCGAATTCCTGTTCGCTAGCACGATGAGCAGCTGCCATTTTGCAATCATTAAGAACTTGCCAGAACTTTTAATTCTTAAAGTTTTTACCTCAATCAATGTTCTTCTCACAGTCACAACATATAATTAACAAACATGTTCACATGATTTAAACACTCACAAAGTACCTTTTTCAACAAATGATGTTTCATGGGAAAATTTCAATTAAAATTACGAGACTGACTTTTAATGGTTTTAAAATTTAAAGAATTGACTTGGTTGGACATTCTGGCAATTTCTTACTTGATTGCAAAAAAACATGATATCCTTTTGTTGAAAAAATGTACTTCATGAATAGTTGAATCATGTAAAAATGTTTTATAATTATGTGTTGTGACTGTGAGAAGAAAATTCAGGTAAAAGAAAGTAAGAATTAAAAGTTAGGTGCGAAAGTGCATTAGCGCCGCCTTGGCTAGAGTAGAAGGCTGCCTAGCCTATTATAGAATTACAGACGATCGGGCACACGAGACGATCGGGCCCAGACGATTGGGCCCATTTTTGGACGATCGGGCCCAAGTAGGGTGGACGATCGGGCCCAACTAGTGTGGACGATCGGGCCCACCGATGTAGACTTTCGGGCCCATTTTCTAAAACGGCGGGTAGACGTTCGGGCCCATTTTTCCAAAGACGATCGGGCCCATTTCCTTCCTCCTTCGGCCGCCGATAATTTCGGTCGGGCGAAATTTATATGGGGCGCCATATGGGCATTATCCCACACCCACTATTGTTTGGAGTCGTCATCTATGCCGTGGTGTATGTCTATTTACAGGTAATTCAAGCACAATGATTTCGTTAATATTTTTCTTTTTTTCAGTTAAGAGGGAATGTGGATTCTATCAAAGCAATATAGCCGTTGAGACGGTCTATTAGGCCTAAAAATATAAATTGTTTGCCCTTCTTTTTTTTTAAATGATAAAAAGGGGCTGGTTGAAAAGAAAGAACAAAGCAGAAAAAAAGTTTTCTTGCTTTGCCACCCCTATTTTTTTCTCAGGTAAGGGGGAAGGTGAGGAGGGCAAACAGACAAACAACCTTATACTTAGGAGACCTTATAGTATAACTGCATTATTTTCTGTTTCATCATTCATTTTTATTTATACTGAGTGGTAAAACTGTACTTGAAGGTGTACACTAAGGTAAGTCGAGTAGTGCCAAAGTGCGAGTAATGCGAGCCAAATGTGCGAGCCATGCGATCCATGCAAGCAAAACATTTTTTTTTTTCAGGTTATCCAGTTTTGCAAACACGTAGGCCTAGCTTATATTCTTTGGCCTAGTAGATGCAAATGAATAACACACCGGGAATAACACAGCGCTGATAGATGTTGTTAAAATACAGATATACAGACACATACATAGCAATAATACTCTGTTTTGACGCTCACAAAAACAAGTTGAACCAAAGATAATAAATAGCTACAGTATTTAAGTTAGATTTGGTTGAACAGTGAGTCAGTATTGCAGCTTTAAAGCAGGATTGAGACGAACATCTGTAACAGACAGTTTAACTTTACTTCGTGTGGATACGTACAGAGGTAAGTCCGGTTGACTGGATATTTGGCTTGTTTGTAGGTTATGATAATTCGATAATTTTTGTGTAAACCTAACATAAGGTAATAACAATGATAGTCTAGGCCTATATAGGGAGATTTGACGCTCTGCTCGGCTTGCCACTGACTGTGTGTGGCTGGCCAGCCTAGGCCTAGAGGTGTGTGTGAATTTTGTCCGCCATGTGTGGAAGATTTGTTACATTCTTAATTTATATTGAGAGTGCATTTGTAATGTCAGTCATCATCAACATCATCATCATCATCATCAATCAAAATCATCATCATCATCTTCGTTTACTGTGCAGATAAAAAAGCCATGTTCCGACAGTCTTCTGTCTAAAAAGTTTTGACAGAAGTAAAATTTTATGAAGTGGATAGGCCTATATTTACGTGACTGTAAATAAATCAGTAAACGAAATAAATATGAAGTGTCTATTCTTACGCCAAGGCGTAAATATTAAGCATATGCGGTGCTAATGCACTTTCGCACCTAACTTTTAATTCTTAATTTTTTTACCTCAACGTTCTTCTCACAGTCACAACATATAATTAACAAACATTTTCACCTGATTTAACCACTCACAAAGTACCTTTTCCAACAAATAAGCCTACAAATAAGTACAGCGAATTCCTGTTCGCTAGCACGATGAGCAGCTGCCATTTTGCAATCATTAAGAACTTGCCAGAACTTTTAATTCTTAAAGTTTTTACCTCAATGTTCTTCTCACAATCATGACATATAATTAAACAACATGTTCACATGAGTTAACCACTCATAAAGTACTTTTTTCAACAAATAAACCCACAAATAAGTACAGCAAATCTGTGTTCGCTAGCACGACGAGCGGCTGCCATTTTGCAATCAGTAAGAAATTGCCAAATGTCCGAGTTTGCAGCGTGCAGTTTTTTGATTAAACGTTTATGAAAACTTATCTATTTGCCGTATTGTATGTCATTCTTTATATTGTATGGTACTCTTGTTTGACTATGTGTGTTCACAATAATTACTTAAAAAATTAGTAATGATCCAAATGCGTACACAGATCAAAAAATAGGGCCTAAGGGCCTAGGCCTAAATACAGAAAAACAATCTATTAAAGCCAATGATAAACGTTTGTTCAAAAAGATGGTACTGCATGACGCCACATTTTGTTGTCGGATGTTTTATGGGACAATTCCAATTAAAATTATAAGACTGGCCTTTAATGGTTTCAAAATTTAAGAACTGACTCTGGCAATTTCTCAATACTTGATTGCAAAAAAAGTAAAGCTCGTCGTGCTAGCAAGCGCGGAAACCCTGTATCAACCTATATTTATAAAGGTACCCTTGTGGTGAAAAAATGTACTTTATGAGTGGTTGAAGCATGTGAAAATGTTTTATAATTATGTGTTGTGACTGTGAGAAGAAAATTCAAGTAAAAAAATTAAGAATTAAAAGTTAGGTGCGAAAGTGCATTAGCGCCAGCATATGCTTTGCTTACGCTGATGACGAGCTTATGACAACGCAAGGCGTTGGCCCAAGAAATCATTTTTCACTGGCTAATTTATTTGTAAGGATTCCATTGCTTGTCCACTTTTTGCATGAGTTGGTATGTGCAAAGGGCGCCCCCCCCCCCACTTGTGCTGCTAAAGTGTACTACCCCACCATAACACAACAAACATACATACATCATTTGTACGTTATCGTCTAGGCGTATTTTCCCCAAACTGCCAGCCGTTGATCCATTGTCTACAACAATGTAAAACAAAAGTTAAACGCTACAATTTTACCCCGATTTTGACAAAGTGTACGCGCCCTCAGCAACACCCTCTAACAAAAACAACAACGATGTTATATAGTCTCTAGTCGGGTCGAGAATCGTCCGCTAGCCCCGATGGAGCCCAAGAAAGAACATCATGAAAGACCACGTTTAGAAGGCATTTGATCCACACTCTACAAATATAGTACAGTAGGCTATGAACAGTGGCGGACCGTCAAGACAAGCAAGGTATGCAGTGCATACCCTGGCTAAACAAATATAAAAAAAATGTAGTAGTACAGTTTCTCCATATTATTTAGCATTTTTTATTCAGAACCTTCTATATAAACCTTAATTTTCCTACAGTTCCTTGGAATACCAAAGTTTTTTAATGTTTGGCCTACTTTTATCTAGGATACCTGTAAGTCAGAGTCGGGCCTATTGCATCCTACTCAAAGCTGCTTAGAATTTCTACATGGTTTGTTTTCAATGTCAGCCAATCATGTATTCAATGAGTCAATGGAGTCAGAGCGTACCCTACAATGCTTAAATTTGCTATTGTGACAGCCGTGTGGTGGTGTCAGAATAACCGATTTAACACTGGAATTGAAGCGGCGCTTCCATGAGAATGTGCGCATGCTCTTCTTCCTACAAATCGGGACCTCCACTGCCGATCGGGTATTCTATCTATAGGAATAATCTCAGCGTTTAAAGTTTAAATAAATTTGCATACATATGGCCGATATAGAAGAAATTTTGAATTATTATTAATATTTTAATTCAAATTTGTTAAAATACAGGAATAGGAATTCTAAAGAAGAGATACTACAACCATGCCGGTATTAAAAATATCATACATTTGTATTTTGACTATAGGACACAATCTGATTCTATATAGTAGTAGTAGTAGGCTTACAAACTTTTCCTACTAGCAGGCCCTAGCATCAGTGACGTTGGGGTCTTGAAATGAAAGGGAGCTGATGGGGGTGGAAAGGTGGGGGATTGGTAATTAGATGAGGGGGACTAACTCGTAAAATGATGAAGTGATTTGAGATGACTTTCAACTACTGCAGCATGATTTGTAGACAGGAGTGGGGTACGACTAATGGATGCGAGTATTTTTTTTCTATCCTTATATGCCAATACCTACTGTAGCATACCCTGAAATTTACCCTACGGACCGCTATGAACAAGAAATAAACAACAAATGCGTGTATTTTCTGTAAAATATTTAATCATTAAAGTATGAAAAAACAAATATTTTTAATGTTTTATTCTAACACATTTTCCCACGTCTTCTCATAAACAACACACTGGCATGTTGCAGGTTGCTTCATTTAGAGAGATCCTCTGCCATTTGAAAGACTTGAGATGTTGGTTACACTTCGGTAGTCATGGAAATCATTCTTGGAGTTGATTTCAGACAATATTGAGCTGATTGTCATTCCTTATGCTTGGTTGGAGACCCAAACTGTTGTACTATATTAATTTGGACGAGGGACAACGATTAAAGGGAATAAGTCAGTGTTACGTAAATTTGGTCTATGTATTGTTAACATTAAAAATAAAGATAAAAGAGGACAAGTAAAAAGCGAGTTAAACCATTTAAAAATGGAGACCATATCAAACAAGCCCCTTTCAGTGTGACGTTTTAAGGGTGAGATGAATACCAGCATTAATAGGTTACATAAATTTAGATTGAACCCAATCTATGCGATTTGATTGAGAAATACATCTGTAGAATTATATATCGTAGATGAAAAATATAAAATTGGTCTTAAACAAGAGAAAAAAGATAAAATTTGGTGTTAATTTCGTATTGTCCGTAATGAATGAATTGTTTTATAGCTGGATGGATGAATGTATGAATAATTGCTGTTTAATAATTGTTGTTTAATAATTGTTGTTTAATTAAATTGTTGTTTAATAATTGTTGTTTAATAATTGTTGTTTAATAATTGTTGTTTAATAATTGTTGTTTAATTGTTGTTTATATTCCAGGAGGAAATGACATCATCCAGCCAAAATTCCATTGGCAACAGATGCTGTAAGTCTTCAACAAACTGCTGTAAAAATTTACAAAATATCTCTCTTCAAGATCTGAAAGCTGAGTTGAAGAAGCAATTTAAATACACATGGCCCTCGGTAAGACAAACATTGGTTTTTCATTTGTAGGTACTATCAGTACTTTCTGGAACTTTCAAACCTAATATTAAAACATTACTTTTTAAGCAGTCAAAAGCCTATTTGATTATTGTACATGATTTTAGCTAAATAATAGAATAGACTAGAAATTGCAAATTGCAAGTGAAGTGCTGCGAAGTAAAACTGCATAAAATGTTCTTCGAACAAAATTATTTATGCGAGTGAAGTGAAAATAATGAATAATAAAAATATAACAAATAATATGAGACACGACCCATTGTCTATATTAGAACAGCGTTGGTACCGTGTAGGCCTACAATAGTGTTTTGCTGCAGTGACATCTCGCTGCTGCTGGCCGATGACTCACTGCAAATTGCAAGTGAAGTGCTGCGAAGTAAAACTGCATAAAATGTTCTTCGAACAAAATGATTTATGCGAGTCAAGTGAAAATAATGAATAATAAAAATATAACAATAGATAAAGACAGGTTCCCACTGCAGGCTTCAGCCTACTTTCTTGTTCGTCCTACTTGAAGGAAGTCATTTACTGTTTAACTAATAGCGACTTAATTTTTTTACTATGAACCCAATTTTTTATGTTGAAATGCAAATAGTTGTGATTTATATTACAAATACATGTAGTACTTGTATTTGCCTCTGAATTTACGCAAGTTACAAAGGTTATCAAAACAGACTAGAAATGAATATGACTGACAGGATAGAATGTGACAGGCTGGAAAATTGTGACAGACTGGACCGGTACCTGTACAGTATTTGTGTCTGAATTAATACACAAGTAACAAAGGTTATCAAAACAGACTAGAAATAAATATGACTGACAGGAAAGAATGTGACAGGGCGAGATAATTGTGCCAGACTGGACATATTATGAGTTGGAATATTTTTATACCAAATATCCATTAAAATTTTAAGTTTATTTTTTTGTGTGAGGTCAACATAATATTGAAGATAGGAATAAGACAAAAAATTTAAAAATCACACAACGCTTTTTAATGTTTTTGCTTAACAAAGAGGACAGTTTTCTGTGAGAAAACTGTATAATATACATTTAATATTTCTACTGAGCTTTAAAATATCTGAATTTTTAAGCATTATTTACTTTTTACCTTGTTTAGCGAACTTGCTGACCGCCATTGCAAATAGTGATTTTGAAATAAAAAGAATTTTTTTATTTTTGTCCAGTATTAAAAGCAGAAATTTCAGAAAAAAAATTTCTATTTCAAGTTTTTATTACATTACGCCCTGAGCTTGGACCTTAAAGTCTCTGAAAATAAGATATTTTATTTCTTCCTTTAATTTAAATTTGAATACAGATTTAGAACATTCAATTAATTTCATTACTTCTGCTTAATTTCATTATTTTCTCCTCCACCTTCTGTGAATTCTTTTGGCAAAATGAATCTGCTAGATAAGAAAACAAAATTAATAATATATTTTTTTTTCTGACCTCTGACAATCATTAAAAAATAGGTTCTAAAAAACGTATTAAAAGTCTTGCTATCAACTATCACTATTAATTTGTTTTTGTTAAAGAAAATTTATTTATTTTTCTTTTCATTTCATTTATTTAACCAAAAACAATACAATATAAAATGATAAAGTCGAAAAGATACAATAAATGTTGGTCTCTGATTCCCAACAAGGGCCGGTGGGATAACCAAAAAGTAAAATAAATTACTGTCAAAGTGGGTCTCCATCCGATGTGGGCTATCAGAGAAAAGCAAAACACCCAGAGAATGTAATATAAATATAAATTACAATATAGAAAATAATAAGCATTTCAACTACAATCATTCAATCATTAGAAGTATCCTTATATTATTTTAAAAATATATATTTATGTGATTTGAGTTTATTTTATACAAATTATTAATGATAAAATTTATATACATTTTCTAGATTTTGTACAACTTCTGCAACTATTTTCTTGTTCTAACAACATTGCTGTTTTGCGGACGTCTAGGGAAACTAGAATTTGCAGCAGCATCCCTGGCAAGTTCTGTAAGTAGCACACTTCTATATAACATGTTGACTGCCAAGCATTTTCCTAGTTTTATTACATACGCCAAGTGCGCCACCATATTGAAAATCGTTCCCATCAACTATAATGAAACATGAACAAACATACAGTGTTTATTTGTTGATTGTTTACTTCTGGATTCTTCCCTGAACCTCCAGGTTGAGAGTTCATGTTCTGGCGACCACTCCCAGTGAGTGTACATCTAATACATGTGTCCTGCTGTCCTGAGTGAACCCTCTCTGATATGAACTGAAGTCCCTGGCACCGAATCTGTTTAATTCAGTTCAGTTTTCAAAAATATACAATTATTAGAATATTCTTACCTATTTTGTATTGGGGAAAAAAAATCCATGTATTTTTTTCAGAATTTGATAAAATCCCTTTCCTTCCAAACACCAATTACTGTATTTTACTTGTACCTTATGTTACACAATTTTTTTTTGTAAACTATTTGTTGATCCAACAGTCAGTCTGATAATTTTCTATCTGGATTTTAAATTGGCAATTTGACTGTTCACTTTCAATTGAATTTCAGGTAATAAATAGCCTCTGTCTTTCCGTTGCCCGTGGCTCAGCAACGGCATGTGATACGTTCTTTGCGCAGGTCAGTGCTTCAATATCATACAGTAGTTTTATTTAAGTTCTTTGTTAGATCATATTATACAGTACAGTACATAACATTACTGATTGCATAAACTTTTTTTTCCCTTAATTCTTGTTTAGTGACAGGATGTTTTTGATGATTAAAAACAACCCCACTTCCTAAGCCTCATAATTAGACTTAGTTTATGTGGGGCATCTTGTGCTTATGATTGTGTTGTGAAAAGGATTGTCACTTAAAAAGTTTGAAGTTGGTATATAGTATCTTTAGTTCTAGCGAATAAAAAAATAATGAAAAAAAATCAATATAAATATTGCAATGGATAGCTAACTAGTGGAAGTTTGAGCTGGTGCTGCTTTATCCTGTTTTTATGGTACTCTAATCACTTAGCCATTTGCATTGCGCACTTTAAAGCATTTTTTGAAAAGTATAGTGATTTAAAAAAAAAAATTTTTTACCGTAGGTCTTTTTATTGATGTACTGTATAGTCTCACCCATGTTTACCCAGACTTCCACAGAGCAATCCCTCTCTCAAGGATTTTGTAGACTAATATTCTCTTTGTATTGTTTTCCAGATGTATGGAAGCGACAACAGAAAGAAAATAGGAGTAGTGTTACAACGCAGTCTTATCATCTTAACCATCTTCGCTTTACCTGTACTCGCTACCTTTCCAAATATGGAGAGAATTTTAATTGCTGTAAATGTCAAACCAGATATTGCAAGGTATTGTAGAATTCAACCATCTTAATCAACTATACATGCTGTCTAATGAGTAAATTGCAAAATACAGTAGTTTTTTGAATGTTATAAACTTGTGATAAATGCTGAATTGTTTACGTTATTGTTAAGAAAATTCAAATCAACTTCTGCCTTGCATGATTTCTTGAGTAGTTTTTCTAGCTTTCTCAATTCTGACTTGCCAACATCACTGTTGCAGCTTAAATCATGAATAATAGAACCAAAAGATTGAATCGAAATCAAGTATGAACATTAGCTTTTAATCTTTCAGCAATAATTGTGTTTAGGGGCATATTTAGGGCTATTAACTTCGGGGGTGGTGAGGGGAGGGGGTGTTGGAGCAGGTTGAAAGGGGGGGTGTAAAATTGGAATGTGCAGGGCTGTTTCGAGGAATGAGATGATACAAGATGTTTTTTGTGTACTTGCAAATTGCTTTGCTTACAGTAGCAAAGTAACAGAAGGTAACAACTGTACTGTAAGGGTGAAACTTTTTTTTTTTCTGGGACTTCTTTCTACTAACACTCCCCTTAAATTGGGCACTCACTGTACATGATATTCATCAGCCGACGCATTTTCATGAAGAACGCAACACTAAGACGTATGCGCAATGGATCTTTTTCAGTAACGATCTGTTCAGACTTCCACTGCCAATCAGCAGATGGTGTCACATTGTCCAACTCTCCCAGGAAGCAGAGTTGGGTTTGTCGGCCTAAGGTCGTGTCACGCAGTGTGTGTCCGGCTTTAAATATACTGCATCTCTCATTGCTTTGCTTTATAACTAAAAATATTTTTATGAGGCTTGGAGTCATTTTTTTTTTTTTTTTTTTGGTTTGTGTTGAGGAAAAGCTTTGCATTTGTTTTCCAGGATTGAACCCAGAAGCAGAATGGAAGGCAAGTATCTGCACTAATATCACACAGCTCCACTTCAACTAATCATAAATTCAAAAGGTTTCCATTTGAAATATGTGTTATTTAACTTAACTAAATTTCATAATGGCAGGGAATTAAACTCTATTTTGTAAATATTGCTATAGTTTCTCTAGTATAGTTTATCTTGGATATAGACTCACCCTCCAACTGATTTTATGTATCATTTTTCCCTGGTGCAAATGCCTAGGGTATGATGTTAATAAGTATCTATAAGTATAGATCAGGTAACTTTTACAAATACATTAAGAAACAAAAATTGTATAATTAGGACATATTAGGAAAAAGAGTTACTGGTTGTCCTTTATAAAAAAAAAAAAAAGACCGTAGGCCTAGGCGAAGTTGATTTATGGGTGGAAAGACGATATTTTCGTGAGTTTTGGTGATAATAAAGAAAACATGTAGGAATGGGAACGATCAACAACTTACATTTTTTACATGGCCTTATTAGACATTGTCTTTTCAAAAAAATTTTAAAAATAGTCATTTTTGTTAAAAGGAGATTCCCAGGTATAAGCCAACCCCCCCACCCCATCCCAAAAGAAATCAGGCCAATGTTATTGTCGGAAAGCTTCTCCACTTCGCTGTAGGTAAGCTAGCTCGTCAATTCAAGAATTTATTAACAGACCAATTTTAGGTTCAAAGGAGTGGACTTATATCAGAGGAATTACGGTTGTATGATGGTTTCTTATAAATTATGGAACTTTTTTCATATTTCAATTCAATATTCAAAATGTTCTTCTTCTATCATTGTATTAATTACAGTCAAATCAATTTTTTTCTACACATATTTCACCACCATTTTAATTCATTTCTCAAAAAATACTTGTGTGTGCACAAATCCACCCTTTTATACAAATTTGTCCTATATAATTATGAGTAAATTTTCCATCACTTACCAGAACTCAAGGATAGTGGGTATTGAAAACTTGATTTCTTAATTTGAGCAAGCATCCATCTGTGGAACCTGTCTCTTATACACATCTAGATGTGTATAAGAGACAGGTGCAGGGCTGGGTGCATTCATTGACAATTATAAAAGAAACATACAACATCAAAATAATTAACAAATGAGAACAATCTAAACTAAAATACAGCAAGCAAAACAAAGATATAAATATTAATATAGTACATAAAATGTTGTTTTGTACAGTATTTTACTGGTACAGTATTTGGAAATACAACAGTTCTGTTAAATCGAATGTAGGTAAAAATGGCCCCGGTAAAATTGGCCCAGGAAAAAATGGCCCTGGTAAAAATGGCCCCAGTAGAAATGTCCCCAAATGACAAGTAGGTAAAAATGGCCCAATACCAGGGCCATTTTTTCTGGGGTCATTCTTACCGTACACCATCAAATCTTCTGATAATTGTTATTGTTATTATTATATAACAAATCTTCTGATAATTGTTAATGTTATTATTATATAATAATACATTAACTCATTCGTAAGGTCATCAAATATTTATCTCAATAATACAGTACCTATTTGTATCTCGTATTCATTCAATGTTAATTGATCTGAATTAAAATTATCACTTGATTTGAATTTCTGTAATACTGTAACTCTTTTATGTGATTAATCCTATTCCATTTTAGATTACATTCTACTTCCATCAGTGCTTTTACAAAAAATCTTTTGCAATCTACACTCATCTATATTTTTTTACTCTATTAAAATAGCTCATCCTAAATATATCTTGAATGTGGTAGATAGATTCCCAACCTAGATCTCCTAGGAGGGCTTCTTTTTTTCATATGTTTCTTGGTGCCTTAAGGGTAATTCTAGCCAATGATTTTCAAGTTTGATTATAGAGCTGTTTTATACAATTACTACAACCATATTGAACAAGCATAATTTATAGTCAGTAGGCCTTTGTCTTTCATAACAGGTCCCCGTAATATACCCTATTGAATGGAGGTATATTCGTTTATTCTATTTCCTTTCTTAATTAACTTTCTGCCCAGTGGTTAACACATTTGATTTGTCAAAATTAAATTCAAGTTTCTATTTTTTAGAAAAATTACCAGCTACCTAAAGAAGTTTTTCAAGTTCAAACTCACTATCCCCATTCATAATGACATCATTGGCCCTAAACAAAGCTCCTGTGTATCATAAATATGAACACCAAGTTTCGAAGTTTTTGATTTATTAAGTTTGTTATTAAAGGGTACTGGGAATAATGAATTCCTTCATTAATGTTAAACATATCTGATTCTAAATCCTTAAATAATACTTTACATTTAACGTTTGAATACATATTTAAAATAAGGTTTATTAGTTTGCCCTTATTGCCATACTTTTGGCAGCTGTTAAAAGCCCTTGGTGCCTCTGAATCAAAGGCTTTGAAATCAACGAAAGCCCCGCTTGCCTTGTAGCAATAATGCTTTTTAACACAAAGATGTCTTCACACTGCCTATCTTTTCTGAAGCCTTAAGATATCGTGTTCATTATGATATTTTTGGAAATATTAATAGCCAAAAAATTTGATTACAAATTTTTGCTACACATGAATTAAGGGTGAATCTTGTGTAGTGAAAATTTGTTATCAAGTTTTGGCTATTAATATTTATTAACAGTTGGTGGTAAATTGATTTTTACCCTCACTTTGAAAACTGCCAGTAAAAATTCCCAAATTCTGCAATGGGAATGAATGGATTTAGGGCAGTTGAATAATCAGAAGTCAAGGCTGGTGACAGGCCTACTTGTTTCAGTTTCATGAAATTGAATCTTGACCATACTGTTTGTTATTTTTTCAAACTTATCTTCACAAGACATTTTACAGTACAAATTCTTTTCATTTCATTTATATATTTGACTAATGCAAATTTACAATATGTACATTACAAACAATTTTTGTCTGGTGCAGCTTAAGGCAAAGTTTGACTACTGTATAACTCTTTGAGAGTCAGCTGCCCTATTAATATATATTAACATAAAAAGACATTAGGATATAATATAGTGTATAAATAGGCCTCGGATGCCTTGTTCAAAGTAAGAATTAAAGTTATCCATATCAAGTACTGTTGATGACATTATTAATGTCGAAATATAGAATCCTGACACGCTGGCGTGCATTTCGATACTTGGAGTATGTATTGTACTATCTTATCTGAGATTAATCAGTGGACCTTTCGGTTAAGTACTGTTCATTTATAGTAATTGGTGGGACATTTACCAAAAAAATATTAAATTAAACTAGGCAAATATCGATTGCAGACTGACCGAATTGTCATTAAAAGTCGCGTGTGCCTGTGTGCGTTGGCTGACAACCATCAGCGCAGTTTTCACTCGACTTCAAAGAGTGACCTTTGATTCTATGGTATGTATAAGCTTTCCAAAAAAAAAAAGTTTAAAAAGAAAAAAACAGATTAGAATTTTTGTAGTTATCCTACTAATGCACAATTTGGCCCAAAATTATTTTGCCCAAATCCCAACCAACTTAAAGTCTAAAGCCTGATGTGTTTTGTTGCAAAGATATTTAATTATGTAGAAGCCGCCCAATAGGACCACTGTGTATGTGGTGGCATTGTTATCCTAGAAGCCCAACCAACTGTTCTTGGTCAACATATTTTAATCTATAAATTTAATACTTTCATCATGATTTTTACTACCTTATCCAACTAAATTTTATACAGGGGTCCCTCGCGATATTGCTAATTTCCGGGAGCATAAAGTCTCCAGAAAATTAAACCCAATCTCCTGCAATTATTGATGTTATTTTTATTCACTGTGTTATTTTCTCTGAAGTCAGCCGACCATGATTGGTATAACGATGTACGGAAATATACAATTAGATGTGTTAAAAAAGCTCATTAAACCATATCTCCTGGAAATGGCTTGCTCTCCTTCAAATGTCACTGCATCGTCAACCATTCCATTTTTGTTTTGAGGGGTGTTTTCTTGATAAAGAATAAAAATGAGGTAATGGGTAGTCAAAGCTAGAGCGCCAATCCCTCTTTCTTAAACATTCGGGCCAGATTGTGTAATGCTTTGATGAGATCACCACTTTTCCCCACTGCGAGTATGTTTACCTTCAGCATATGGAAATGCTGGTACCCATTTACCATAAATGCTCGAATGAACGCTGCGGCTTCAACGCTAGTGTGGCGCTTATAAAAAAAAAATATTGTTGTGGTGCTTTCCATCTCCGTACCCATGTTAACTATCTCATGTATACGTGTAGTTCATCATTAATAAAAGTTTATAAAGACATGCTTGTGTCTTCATTGTCTTACTTAGTTATTTTAACACTGTATATATTGTATTTAAAACCCTTTTTCTCAAAGTGTTTCATTACACACAGGGTAATACTGTACTCTTTATTAAGTGCCGCGACGCTTATTCGAGAGCAGTGCTTAGCTAAAAATAAAATAAGGTTTGGTGCGGCACTTATTCAAGCATTTACGGTACACTTCTAGATAGAGAGAAACAAACACCCAACGACACAAGCAACTTGCACAGCAAGGCTTGAACCCCTGATACAAGGTGGACAGTCGGAGTCCCAATTGCTGCTCCTAAGAGAAGTAACACTTTTATCCAGTATATGCATCACTGCTGACTTCTTTAGTTTAGCCTAAATGAATCATTAACTTTGTTTTGTTCTGTTTAAAAATTACATTTTGGGCCAAAAAAGAAAAAAAAAGCAATTAAAAAAAAAGGCAAATAAAAGAAGCACTAGACATGATTCATACCATATGTATCCCCAACCACGAACGATCAAGAGAGGAATTTTACTGATTTTTTCCAGATTTTTGTACATTTTGTAAAATAAAGGAAATACTGTACAAAAAAAAAATTGGTTTAGGCAGAGAAATGGATTTGCGAGGGGATCAGAAACCAGTAATTTTTTTTATTTAGCATTATTACACTGATACAGCAATGCTTTTCTTGTTATTCTTTTGTTATAAATTTAATGGCTTTTTCCCTTTCAGGCTGACTGGAACCTTTGTTGTTTACTTCATGCCAGCAGTTCCTGTAAGTACAGTACTTAACTCCTTACTTAAACTTTAATTAAACAAGTAGGGGCAGCACTCTCAGACTAACTTTAAAGATGTAATTTTATTGCACATGAGCTTACGCTGGCAGTGGCAGTCAATGCCAGCTTCATCAGGTGTGTGAAGTGTAACAAGAACAAACAGAGAGGAAATAACTTATGCATAAGCTTTAACTTTAATGGCATTCATATGATTGTGTTCCAGTAGATAAATGATGGTTTACACCAACCTTCACAACAACAGTCCACCAGATGGTCTGATTAACAAGTGAACCATTTAGGAGTTAACCTTGAAAGTCCATCTGCTTTCAAGGATTATTGAATTTGAGTTCAAAATTTGAATTAGAATTTAAGTTTTTCTAATGGATTTTCTTCTGAAAAAAAAGTGCTACTTGTAAAAGATATTCTTGTATTCGTATTTATTTCAAATATAAATCCATGTAACAAATAAAAATATGCATTCCGGCTATAGTTATCGGCACTTCTGTCTTACCACTTGGCCACCCTACTCACTATCAAATACATGAAATATAGCCATTGTAAATTAAATATTTGTTAATTTGCCTGTGTCTTTTTAACATGAAGCTATATTAAATCATTCTACTAAAAGCTCTTATTCAAATCCAGGCTCTGGAAGAAAACAATTTTTTTTGTTTAAATATTGTATAATTATTCTGAGACATGAAAAGGTTATTTGAGGAAAAACGGTTAATGAGATACAGCTTATATTTAAAAACTGGAGGAAAAAGGGTTTAATACAAAACAGTGGCAACACCAGTGACCAAGTAGTATGTAAATTCTCTTTTTTAACAAACAGTGCAGCATCATACTCCCTTCACTTTATTGTGTCCACTGTGCGGTGGTGGTACAACTGGTGTTAACCATGGCCGCGGTGGGGATGTTTCTACCATTAACCCTATATTACCACCATAACCATTAAACAAGTTCTTTGCATTGATTTCAGGTGGTTTTTTGCATTGAAGTATTTGTGAAATATCTTCAAAACACAAATCATGTGCTACCTGTCGTTGTTTGTACAGTTACAGCCAATGCTATTGGTGCATTGCTCTGTTACATATTTATATTCCGAATAAATATGGGAATAAGGTAACGTACTGAAGAACTTCATCCCCAACATATTTATCATTTTGTGACAGTGTCTTTCATGTGTGTGTGTGTGTGTGTGGGTGGGTGGGTGTGGTGGGTGTGTGTGTGTGTGTGTGTGTGTGTGGCTGTGCAGACTGCCTCACGTCTACTTTAAAATTATGTTTTCCATTTTCTCTTCCTCCGCTTCTTACATTTCTGTTTATTTTGTCTCCAACCTTCAGATATCTCTCTGACTTATTCATTAATTACAAGAAAGCTTTTATTTTTTTATATCTTTGATATTTCTATTATTTTAATACAGTATTTTATCTTATTTTTTTTTGTAATTAATTTTCTCCATTCTTTAATGGATGTTGTATATGTCTGATATTGCCAATTATACATTGTTTTTTTTTTTTTTTTTTTAAACTATTTTCCTTTTTTAATCTAAATTATTATGGCTATGTTGTTGTTAGTCAACCTAACACAGTTCTTAATTATATGTTTTAATTGTTTTATGTTGAAAAGGAAAAAAAAAAATAAAAATAGAAAATAGAAAAATTGCCCTATAAAAAGTGACCTTGGTGGCTACATACAACTTGTAATACTGTACATGGCGCAGGTTAGGCCAAGCTCGGCCTAGGCAGTCAATCTTTTATCTCATAAAAATATTCTTCCCATTGCACTCATAAACATTAATTAATATTTGTATATTATTTGTTGCAATTTTTTTTTTCTTTTTTTCTCATTATTTTTGTTATATAATTCTTATATTCTATAATATTGTATTCTCATTGTCATGGTTTGTGTGAAGTTGTTTTGTGGTTGTTTGTCGATTCATTTTGTGTCTTACTAAATACATAGTAAGTTCCTCTTTATTTTTAATTTTTGTAAAATAAGTACCTAAGTCATTAACAAAAAATATATATATTTTTTTTAATTACAGTGGGCCTGCGCTTTCTCTGGTTCTTACATACTTTGCTTTGCTTATTCTACTTGTTGGTTACATAAAATTTAGTAAGATGTACGTCGAAACCTGGCAAGGTAGGGTAACTTCATGATAATTTTAGTCGGGTAGTGCCAGTTGGGGGAGGGGTCAACAATGATATATATTTTCTACATAGAATCTTCATCATTTCAACATGTCTGTGTGGACCGAACCTATGATACGTTACCTTCTCTCATTGTGGGGGGAGACAGAATACAAAGACAACTGGACGGCACCCGCTGAAACAGCGGTATTTACAAAGAAATAACTGCAAAGATCGAAAAAAAATTTAGGGGAAAGCTGACGGTGACACAGGTCACCAATAAACTGAAGTATTTGCGCAGGGGAGTACAGTACAAGTGCGTGAAGCGTGGTTAGAAACGTAAATATTGCGTGGCATGATGGGATATACTATTGCCTCGCTGACCTCAAATGAGTATTTCCGAGGTAAATTTTTAGACGGTTAGGCAAGATAAGTTTGTGCTCGAATGCGGGGACCCCGTGGTGTAAAGCCGAGCGTTTACCTGTCATATACACAGAATTTAATAGGCGTGTATGGCTCGAAACGCACCCTTATATTATATCCCATTTCATTTCACTTTACAACACGCTTTCCCTAGCAGAAATATAAGGTTGATTGTCTTTTTTCAGAGGGTTGCTATTGATATTCTTCACATCTTTGAAGTATATCATTTGAAAAATTTGATGGACAATTTCAAAATGAGAATAAATGCTGAAATATATTACACAACATTTCCATTATATGTCAGAGGAAAATTACGGCATGGGAGGCTGTATTTTTACTGTTTTGATCTGTTTATTACTTGGAAGTTCTGATCTATCTGATCTTTTTTTATGAGTTACTCAATGCTTTAATATTTGTATTAGTATTTTCACATTTTCATACAACTATGTAAACAGAATTATTTGGAAATAATCATATTTATTATATGCTGTTGATATTTAATAATGCTTTCAATATAAAACTTTGTTTCCATATCTGATAGGTTTTAGTAAGGAGTGTTTTTATGACTGGGGTTCATTTATCTCCCTCTCTATATCTGGCATGATGCATATTTGTCTCGAGTGGTGGGGATTTGAAATTGGCTACTTCCTTTCAGGTATGTACATACTTTCCCAAAACATTTATCAGTAAGCCTTATCTGGGATTGCCGTTGGGGGATATGGTGGTGTGCAAAAATCTACGTCTATTATGTCTTGAAAGATGTACTTGTTAAATTTCTTTAAAGTGCATATAGCCAATTTTGCACTGGGCATTCAGTTTATATAGCCCTTTTCCGAGAGGACTTTTTCTATCACCAGAACCTTGTTGGTTGCGGCTCCACTGCCTTAACCACATGACCATTTGGTTCACCTGGATTCATCTTTCATATTTGACCTTTTGTTTTTCATTGAAGGTATTTTGGGTAAAACTGAACTCGGTGCTTATTCTATTACTGTCCAGTTTGCTGCATTATCATATATGGTATGTAATATGTTTCTTTCATTGTTTGCTTTTCATCGTTTTGTTAAGTATAACTACATTTCAGTATCTATCATGTATTTGTAGTTCAAATATCCTGGGTAGGTTTTTAGAAGGCGGTGTAGAAAGGAACTGGCCACCCAACCACACAATGCCGAGGCTTAGTATAGTGGGCTTCATTCCCCTACTTTCAGTAATGAATGAAGGGCTACCTTTACCTTTCTGCCTGCCAATTGCGAAAAAACTTTTGAATAGATCGTTTAAAAAAGGATGAAATAACTTATTAACTTCTGAACAGAAACCAATCAAAAATAATTAGTTTTTACTGACGTTTCATACATTTTAATACAAAAAAAATGTGTGGCCTGTACAACATAATACATTTTTAACTCTCTGTTTAGTAGCAGAGAAAATCTTTTAATTGATTACCAGCCATACTTTTAGTCTATATGCAAAAGAATACAGGAAAGGTTTAACAATGGTTTAACTGTCAAATTATTAATTGTGATTTACTTTAAATACAAATAAGGCAGTTTAAATATGGAGATGATTTTGTTTTTTAATTTTTGAGTATACGACGCTTGCGCCGATATACCCTATGCTGGGGAAGTGAAATTCGTATGTAAATTGGAATGTATTAAGGTTCACTTCAGATCATTTCATTTTGACAGGCACGCCAAGTACAGTGTGTTGACAGGTGACCAATGGCTGAATAGCACCATGTCCGATAAGAGTAATTTTGACCTTGTAATGCAGTTTAATCAGGCTCCTATCAGGGGCATATTTTTAGGCTGATGGCAGCTACTGTATTATTGCACTAAAGAAACTTAATCTTTATCGGTTATTCAGACAGTCCGTGTTTCTACTGCATTTTTGCAGCTATAATCGGTTATTTTTCATTGAAATACACAATCCATTTGATGTTTTTAATCGCTTATTTTGCCCAATTTCTTCCTTGGCAGAAAATACTCTATTTTAAAAAGTGATCATTAATTATATCAATAGGCCAACCATCATTGCTACAGTGATTCAGTTCTCTTTGGTTGGCCCTTATCTCCCCATTTTTGTGTAGAATCTAATAAATAATGAATGAATAAATGAATGTATTTCTTGCCAGCAGAAACAGGTCCTACCTGTACAATGGAGTTGGCCAGTGGAATGAAAAGTAGTATCATAAATATTCATAAGACTTAGATAAGGCTAAATAAAAGAAATTATTAGTTTATCACCCTATACTTAGCTGGAAAAGTGATGAGGGAGGCTTTGATTTTTTATATTTAGGTAAAGCCAAATATCACGCTTTGGCTGTTTTCTGGCGCATTGATATTCAAAGTAAAATACATGATTGAGATACAAACAATATCGACTAACTATTTATTAAAAACATGAAAACATTTCTTTATGCCTAAATATTTTTTTTTAACTGCCGTACAATAAGACATGCGGGCGAGGGTGATAAGCTAATCATTTTTTTTTTTATTGGGCCTATCCAATGAAAAATTTCGAAAATAGCCTGTTCTGAACAACACACTCTAAAATCTAAAATCTCTCGCTTATTCAAACATTTCTCTTATGAGCATGTAATGTCTGCAGTTTTTGACAAAGTAAATCAGAAGAAAGCTGTTGTGAAATAATTCTTTTCTCTTTGTCATTTAGATTCCTCTTGGATTAGCCATAGCAGCAAGTATAAGAATAGGTCATTCTCTCGGTGCAAAGGATTCTAAATCTGCAAGGACTGCACTGTGTGTAGCACTTTTATGCAGTTGTGAGTATTATAGTAAAGAAGAGTTGTTTAAATCTTTAATTCATCCTGAGAAAGCTAGAATAGTCAATGAAAATGGGGTAGATCATTTTAAACCTGGATGCACTGCGCCAACGGTCGTCAGCCGATGAGATTCTACGGAGAACCTAACGTGAAATGCGCAACATATCGTTTTAGTGGCAATCCACACAGTTGACAGTAACAAACAGTAGAAAGCATTGCATTGTCAAGCGCTACAGGCGTATCCGGCTTTAATATGGGTTGTATCCAAAAATTATATATTAATATTTTTCCACGCACAAAACCTATCTATCTATAATCATTTATAGTGTGCTATTTCAAACCGAGTGTCAAATTTATTGTAAAAACAAGTGTCGTATCCTGTTGTGATTTATGCAGGTTACAAAAAAAATTAAATAAAAAACGTTAAATCTGTTCCTGAAACTTAAAACTTGTTCCTAAAACTAAACTTACAGTATACCATAAACTAAACATGGTTTTCTTAAGCATCATAGAGTACCACAGTCTTGTCATCACGACGCCAGGTGGCACTCTCTGTTGTCAACAGACGTAGGCTACCGTTCATTACTCCTGAATGACTTCATAGGCTTTCTGGAATAAGCATTTTAAAATCTAATATTTTACTATCAAAATGTACTTAAACCACCAAAGCTCGCTTTATATTAGTTATCGAACACACATTTAATCATCAATTAAAATTTACAAATAAAAAGTAAGATGAAACATCTTAATAATTATGTTAGAAATTGGGATCAACGGTTTATTAGTGGCGAAAATGGTGTCGGGTTGAACGCATTTTTCAACAATAGCAACTGAGTAGTACCATGTGGTATCGTGATGTATCACTTTAGTGCTCTATAGTGACTTGATTACAGCGGGATGATTCAATTGCAGTCAGCATTGAGGGTCCCAATAGTCATTCTCCCTGGCTAGGGTCATTGGGTTTATAAAAAGTAAAAAATAAACATTTCTAATATTACCATTGTCTAGGGTCACCATTGCAAGTCTGTTTCTCTATTATCAACACATTTAATTTTACCGATCATTTTTTTATTTTGATTTTTTAATGAATTAAGCTATTTTAAATTTAAATTAAACCAACATTATATGGGTTATAAAAACAACAATGATTATGAAATAAACAATATGTTACAGTATATGAAAATACCTTAATAATCTATCTGAGTAATTATATTAAAAGTATTTTATATGATCATTTAAAATATATAAATATAAAATAAATGTATATGCAATACTCAAACCAGTTTATGAAAGGTGGTACAATGGTTCCCCGTGTTATTATTTAAATTCTTCTTTTATGTACTATAGACTTTTAAACAGTTATTTTTTACAGCAATTAATTTTTCTTTTTATTTACAGGGGTTTGTGCATTGTTTGTTTGTATTTTGTGGTTGTCAACTAAGGATCATTTAGCTAAAGTTTTTATTGACGATCCGTAAGTATATTCAAAAGTTTAGGTCAGTATTCTTTTGTTTCATCATACATGAGTAGATATATTTAGTACAAAGGTTAGTAAACTTTATAGTAACTGTTATCGGATCTAATGAATTTATTTAGTACAAAAGTAGATATATGATTTACTTTTCAGTTTTGGATTTTGTTCGTTTCATTTATTTTGTCCAAAAAACATTAAAATACACAAGATAACAGAGAGCAAAAAACAACACTCAGTTGGTCGGACAGGATTACCAAAAAGTAAACTGAATCACTGCCTAGTGGCTCCCCGATGCCAATGAGAACATAATTAAAATTTTTTTTTTTTTACATCAATTTTTATTTGTTACAATTGTTAAGCTTGGTTTCCATACAATCGCTACACGCTATCACCGACAGCTTTCTGTGATGCTGATTGGTTGGTTGAATCGGGGCACCTTTCTCATTGCCTCATGGACTGCTACTCAGTACAGCGATTGCACTGAAACACATTGTGGCAACAGTGTAGCTATTTTATGGAAACCAGGATTCAGTGTACTTTTAGAGCAAAATATGTAAATTATTATAACACATTTTATTTTCGTAGAGAAATAATCAGCCTGGTGTCCAAGGTTGTACCCCTGTGTGTCGTATATTCATTCTTTGATTTCACTGGCGTAAGTATTAAATAATTTTTATTTACTGTTGGCACTAGCAAATGGTGAACATCTTTTTGTGTGTGATGTTTCTACTCTAACTTCTTCTGTTTGCAAGTGAATTGGACTGATATACAACAATTTCATTGGAATAAAAAAAAATAAATTTTAGGATAAAATAAACAAAAATACTATATAAGTGTGCCCAAAATATGACTGAAAAGCTTAACACTTTAGTTTTTCAAGACATTTGCAATTAGGCCAATAAAAAAAATCTTTTGTTGGTCACGTTTTGGGAAATTCAATAAAATGGGTAGGTCGGTAAGAATTTTTTTTTTTTTTTTGAACACGTTAATGTGTTTATGCCTAAAAATTAGAAAATACACAAAAATACAGCAAAGACCATTTATAAATCAATATTGAAGAGCAAAATAACACTGTTGCATCGCCTATTTTCCAGCAAGTTTGGGCTATTCCAGCCTTTTTCGCTTATTAAAAAAGTAAATGTCAAACCTCAATTTCGTATATATTTTGTGTCGGTCGGGCTTTGCCAAAAAATATATTTTTTTTATTTGGCCTTATATATTGTATGATAAATTTTATTGCAATTTTCCCCAAACAATTTGAGGTTGAACATAGAGTATAAAACAGTTGTTGATAACAAACACAACAAAAATTAATGAAGATTGAACATTGGTATCAAAAAACATAGAAATATAATGATTTATTTACTTGCTTATTTATAAAGGTATTTACTTTTCTAATTTATTTATTAATTGATATGATACAATTCTGCAGAATTGAATACTACCTAAAAAAAAATGTAGATTATTAAAAAAAAAAATGTATTATTATTATCCATAACGTTTTTACTTTAAGGTACGTAAGAACCTGTCAATTTCATGTGTACCACTGAGCAGAATTTGGTTTTGGAATTTGGCACAATATACATACTGTACAAGCGATGGATTGGTTGATAACAGTGGAGTTAAATAGCTTAGAGGTTAAGATGCTTGCTTCCAATCCTATGGTCCTGGGTTCAATTCCTGTCCTTGATTTTGTTGTGATATTTGATGTCTTTTTAGGCCGTATGCAATGGAGGTCTGCGAGGCGCCGGTCATCAGAAGATAGGAGCCATTGTTGGCTTTATAAGCTACTATATCATATGCCTACCAGTCGGAGGGTACTTGATGTTTAAAACAGATTTAGGAATAATTGGTAAGAAAACTTGATAAAACCTTAGTTAAACATTTGATCATCATCAAGTGATCTGCCAATTGGCAGGTTTGTGGCAACCACTCAAACCATCTGTCGAGATCTATAGCCAGTCTTAATCATGCGTCAAAATTAAAAATAAAGATACTTTCTAGTTAGTAGGTATCTGTATATTCATTGAAAAAAAATACAAGGCCTCACTTTGAGGGCTGAGAATAGTTATTAACACTTAAGCCCTGTCCAGACTATCACATTTTATTTGGCAAAGCATGTGACATGCCTAAATATGGTCATGATGACATCACATCATGACCATATATAAGCACATTATGACTATATATGGGCATACAACAGTTTTTTGTTTTTTTTTTGTCAAAGAATATTTGATAGTCAGTGTACAGAGCTTAAGGAAGGAGAGTGTACTTTGCTGGCAGGTGTGAACTGTAATAACATTCAAAGGACTATACTATTGCTTAGATTGTACTGTAAAGCTCAAAGAATTAACTAACAGGATAGTTTTGGTTCGAATCCTCGTGGGTAACGATGAAGAGAATATTTTAGTTAAGGAGTGATCTGTAGATTGAATCAATTTTAAGGGTAATGATCATGCAAGCTTGTAAAGCAAGTTACAGTCTGGCCACTCCGACATGAACAAAAATTGTTACTAGTGTAGTGTGAAATGATGCAGTATTAGGCTTAGAGGCTTTAACTCTTTTAGGTGTGTTATATTAGGATGGATGACATGCACGCGCAGGCTGGAAATGGCCTGCAGGTCACCAGTTTGGAACCCCCCTGTCTTAGTCAATTGATTGTTCATATTTTTTAACATCTCTGCACATGCATATCTAAAATGAATGCGGCAGGGGCAATTTCAAGGTGGCTCAGTCAGCATGGGCCCTTATACTTTGAAGGTGCATACTTTAGTGTTAGTTATTTATTTAACAGATATGTATATTGTTCCTAAATATGAATTATAGTCAATATGCTACTGGTAGTTAATGTTCGTGGCCCATTGCGCCCGATGATTTTATGGAGAACGTAATGCCATGGCGCGAATGCAACAGATTGTTTTTAATGACCAACAGTTCAGACACAGGAAGCAGAATTGGATTCGTCGTGCGACTCGTAGTAGATGCCGACTTAACTGATTCTTCTGATTATTTTACAGGATTGTGGTCTGGTATCACATTAGGTCTTATGGCGCAAGGATCATCGCTTTTGATTTACATGATGAAATTAGATTGGGATCTTGAGGGCCACAAGGTAAGCTCTTTTGTCCCACTCTTACTGTTTGTCCTTTGCTTTCAAAATAGGCTTAAGATGTGCAATAATCCCTTTGAAATGAAATTTGGTTCCTACTTTTTTAATATGTAATTATTATTAATGAAATTTTCCCTCTAATTTGATTGTAATTTTATGTTCAGCCGTTTTGATATATATTTTATTTATGAAATTGTATTTATTTTCTCAGTCCAAGTTTGTGCAATTTTTTTTTTTGCTTTTTTTTTAATGTTTTTTCTTTTCTCCTCTTGTGTGATTGTTCTTTTTAAGTTTCCCTTGTTTTCCAAATGATTGTTTTTCATGTTCTTTTTGATTGTTCTCCTTGTCTTGTTTTTTACATTTTTCCTGGTTTCCTTTTGCATGTTGTTTTTTTTTCTTCTTTTTTTTTGTGATAGGCTTAATTATTCCTGAAATTTATAAAATTTTATGCATTGTTCAACTTCAATTTCTGTATATTTTTAAAAATTGATATTGAAGATTTTTTTGTATTTTAAATTGTATAATAATAATTGGAAATGCTGGCTAGCCCCTGGTTTATACACAGCAGCCCAGTACAGCGATAGTACCAAGATGTAATTGTTAAATTGTATGTATCTGTTACATTTGAGGGTTAATATTCAAGAAGCGAAGTTATCCAACTATAATTAAAACCTGACACTGGCAGAGTTTGAGCAAGGCTCTTCAGGGCATGAATTTGGTGTCATAACCTAAGTGGAGTAACATCCCTATAGTCCAGTTAGGGTGGGGTATGCAGGTCATTCGACCTTACATTTTTTTTTTTATCTGCTTTGTTTTTATGGATATTAGCTCAAAAATAAAATCGTAGCATTACTAAAAAAAATCTATTTGGATTTATATAGCACTTTATACAGAAATGGTCTGAAAGTGCTCTAAGTGTGGATTAGCTTTTACTTCTTGCTTCTCTCCTAAGTGTCTCTTTGTATCTGAGCTTCCCAATAAACCGGTGCCAGAAAAATGTACTGGGTTCTTTTAAAGTGCACATGAGCCGAATTTTGTACACAGGGCCTATGGTTTATAGTCCTTATCCGAGAAGACTTGTTCTAACACCAACCAAATTAAATTATGACTGTATGTTGCCCTGCTCATTACCACTCGACCATCCAACATGCCAATAAAAGAAATTGAATAGAATTGAATCAATTGATAATGTTTTTGCTGTTGGTTGATTAGATTAAAATTAAGGGATAGGATAGGGGTATTTCGGTGTGCATCGCACCAAGGATAACCCACGAAGTCCGAAGGCTTGTTTCCAGTTGGTTCCTTCTGGTGGTGAATTGGGCAGTACACTGGGAGACAATCCCCTACTCTTTCCTGAAGAGTGTACTGCGTTCTATAACATACGCATGGGCCATATTGCTGTCTCTTATACACATCTAGATGTGTATAAGAGACAGCTGCACATGAATATGTCAAAAGTCAAAGTATAAAACAAACACTAAAACTGCTTATATCATCGTCTGCATTATGAATGGTTTGTTTTAACATACTGCTACATTACTATGTATACTTTATAAGAAGTAAGGAATAGAGGGTCCATAAGAAAGCAGTTGTTATTAAGAAACAATATTGAAAGATCCAAGTAAATCGTGTTTTTTTATTTTTATTGGTTGATTATGAACATTATCAATATTGACTACTTTTAAACACTGTACATTAAGTAAATACAATAAATGTGATTTACTAGATTAGTTTCAGATGAGTTCCACTCTAGTAAGTGACAAGGACGGCCATGTTTAGGATTGAATTCATGTCCCACTAATCCTGTGAAATCTGGTGTTGACTCCTGGTCAAATGAGGTCAGAAGCACCTTTCCGGTTGACATGCCCACACCGATCAGGTTTACTCCTGGGATGGCTTTTGGTTGCCAAGCATAGCACTACAAAAACAATCATATGCATATTTAGTGTAAGATTTTTTAAATACATAGGCCTATAATTAAACCAAACTATAATACATGCATAAAAAGTGTAATTTCACCTGATAATGAGAAGCGAAAGCCAAAGCAAAAACTACTTTTTCAAACAAAATAATAAAAGTGATCAGGATATATTTTGGCTACACAATGGCACTAAATATATCTCCATCAGCTGTTTGCAAAAAAAATCCCATATGAGGCACAACATGACAAAATGACTAATTTCGTCCCACAAGCCAGTATTGAGTAAATGAGCCATAGAATATGGAAGTTTGAATAATGGCCTAAAAAATTAAATTATTTCGCTATAAATCAACAATTGAAGATTAAATTATTCGTGTCTTAAATTCTTAGTTCTGGAAATCGTTAATAAACCATTATTTCACATCTTTTTTTTTAGTTAATTCCACTAAAAACCATTTAATACTTTTTCTGCATTGTTTCAAGAACAATGGGAAGACATTCTAACCTGAAAACTTGAAAGCGCTCAACCATAATGAAGCATAGCAATTTTCACAACTTAAGAAACAACAAAAACATTCGCAAGAAACGAAAGTAAGACAAAACTAACCTTGACCTCTGACTGTCTCTTATACACATCTAGATGTGTATAAGAGACAGACTGTATACAGTTCTAATGGAAGCAACATCATTCTCAAAAGTCTATTATGTTCTAATCCAGTAGAATTAAAGTTTTTGTAAACCTGGTTGGGATCAATAAGGCTTTGATCACGCATAAAACATATTTGACGGTATTATGTGTTTTAGTTCCACATTTACAGTGAAAAAGGATGTTTATTTGAGACTGTATATACGCATCGATTTTACACAGAACAAATAAAGGCCTCCCACGAATAAATTCCTTTGTTGAGTAAATTCCTCCTCAAAAACCCTTCAACAATAAATGGCCCGGGGTGTTTACTCAAATAAATAATGGCATGCCCAGCGGCCACACTTCAGCACAACAGCATCTCAGACGATACAGCATAAACAGGCATTTTTTCACAGCATACAGTAAGAAACAAAAGTCAATAAATTTCACAAAATCTGCTTCTGTCTCATGCCTGAAGAAATTAATTACCATAAAAGATTTCAGATTCTATACGGAATACAACTATACTTGCTTCTTATATCCATCCATTAATTTTGTTGTACACTATTATTAGTGACCCTCAAACTTAACATTTGGTTTGATTGATTTGAAGAAATGATTTACCAGATGTGTATAAGAGACAGACATAAAGCTTTCTTATAGTTTCAACTGCACTTGATTAAATCAAAGGTTAAATCATACAAACAAATACTATCATCCAAATCTAATACACTGTTATTACTTAATATTTGTTGGACTTATGTTATAGAGGCTGTTAGATCCATGTATTATTGCTTATATATGCAAGAAAAAGAAAATATTAGTCGGGAACCATCGAGGGGCTTGCCACTGGGTATCCTGACAAATTGGTAAGCTAGCTACCCTGTGGCTGCTGGGCTGATGTGGGGCCACAGTTGTCTAAGCCCCACTCTCCGATTTCAAAAAGGGTCATACAGATTTACCAACAGTAGTCCATTATTACAACCAATCTTCAAAAAATGTTTAATAGAAATTTATAAATACAGATAATACATTAATTATATGCTATGATATCTCAATGGGTACAATACACATTTCTCATAATATACTATAGTATTACAACAGATACATTGACCTCTACAATTTGTAGAGGAATTCTCCATACAAGATCAAATTTATTATGAGACCGATTGATATAATCATATTTAAAACAGACTGAGAAAATGATTTATAGGATACTATTTTACATAATCAATAAAAAAAAAACCAGTAGCTCACCTCTGATGTCATACAAACGGATATGCTTACTGCCAATACCAGCTAAAAAGCAAGTGGGGTCGCTGATGAGCCACTGCATCGAGTGGATGATCTCACCAGGAGAACCGAACTCAGCCAAAGGTTTACTAACTGTACCCTGACCATCTGCTAACCCTGGTAGCTTCTTAGTCTTGTCAGCTTCTCTGCCTGTAATGACACCCATTTTGTCAATTATTCAGTGTCATATTATTAATATTTTACCTCCTATTCCTGGTAGCCTCATAAAAACTTGTCACAATTTCTAGCTTTCAATCAATCTTTCATTTCTATATACCTGTCTCTTATACACATCTCTGCTGTGGGATGAGAACCCAACAAAGAATTTCAAATTCCCCAAATATTATACCATTGATGATATAATGATCTGTTTAAGAGTAACTCTAAAAAAAAATTTATTTGAGCAATCCTAAAAATATAACAAATTTTCAGATCAAAAATACAGTCATGGTAAAATAATTCTACAGTACTTACTCTGTAAGTTCATTTCATTATGTTCCATCTCTTTATCTGTAATAACAGATAATCTTAATATCAGTAATATATCTGAATACGACATTTATAATAGTATATAGAGGACAAATATGAATTGTTCAGTGTTAGTATATTCCAGTTACAAATGCAATTAAAATAAACAACTATTATTTAATTGACTATTAAAATATTTTATCATTATCACATATAAAACTAAATGTGTTATAACAATATTCTAGAATATGGTATAGAGAGTCTACATACCAAGGTGCTCTATCGAATATACTTTTATGACGGAGCTCTTATCAGTAAGACACGCCAGGCGATTATATCTGGTGGGACACCATGTAACTTTGACGACAGGTCGTGGCTCTACTATATTATGTATCTGAATGTGGTCAGTCAAGGAACTATCAATCATTCAATAAATCAAACGATCACCATTCCAACCAACAGTCATTGCTGGTACGCCATTCAAAAAAGTTGATAAAAATCAGCACGTCTTTAGTAGTGAACTGTCAAGTGAATGTTTAATGTTCAAATGTTCAAACAATACAATAAATCAATCAATCAATCAA